ATTTCTTAAGTGAACAGTATGTTTGATTATTAATGATTTTGAAAATGAAAAATTTACAATAACTAAACTTATCATTATATTTTTTGAAAATTTTTATTAAGCAATTTTTTTTTTTAAAATTAAATCCAAATATGAAATTTTTGCTGATTAAATGTTTGATGGTAAAATACTTGATAAAATTTCAATATATATTTTGTAGTACAATATGATATTTAATTTAATTGGTTTCTATATATATATATATATAGAAAGTACACGTACACGTACACACAAGTACACGCACAAACATATATATATATATATACATGTTTGTGCGTGTACTTGTGTATGTGTTTGTGTATGTCTGTATGTGTGTATGTGTTTGTGTGTGTGTGTATGTCTGTATGTGTGTATGTGTGTACGTATGTGTGTGTGTGTGTGTATGCGTGTATGTGTGTACGCATATTAATATATCAATATCTTATAATCAGTCAATTGTGACAGGTCGATCGTAAGATTCATTCATCATTGTCCTCAACGCCATCACATACGGACTCATTTGTGACAGACTGTCATCACTTTCTCGAAATAATTTTGGTTACAATTCTTAACTGATGCTTGTTTTCACTTTATTTATAACAATCATTTCTTTTATTAAAAAAATTAATTAAATTTTTAATTAGCAAATTTTGATTAATGAGAAGCGAAGTATTATTTTATTATCATTATTATTGCTACCATTATTATTACTGTTGTTATTATTATTAATTATCAGTAATTACTATTGTTCATTATCATATTATTAACTGTTAACGCTGTAAGCATATATACACGTAAAAATATTTGAAGCGACCGAATCATATTTTCGTATACTTTCATATATTGTTCAATTATTTTCTATTCTTTCCATTATTTAGTGAAAAGAAATTCAAGAAAAAGAAAAAAGCAATGTATTGATAAAGTGCAAAATGGAAAATATTTTAGATGTAAGAGAGAAATGGTAAGAATGAATTGACTAATAACGAATAATCAAAGTGTATGAATTATGACGGAAAAATTTATTACATTTTAAATATATTTATACATATATTTTTGCAAATGTTTTTATTGTATTTTTATTTAAATATATTTTTACAAATATTTTTATTAGAAACCTATGTCGTACATATATGGTTCAAAAAAGCAAATATTTTTTCACAATATCAATTGAACATTTCCTACTTTTTTCGAATATACATTCTACTTTGATTCAAAAAATTCAACTTTAAAATTCTATGCTAGCTTTATTTATCTTTGCATAATAAAATGTGCAATTTTTTTTTTTTTTTGAATCAAACTAAATGAATAGAAAGTATATGGATGTGATTCACCGATTTCATTGATAAATTTTATTTTTGAATTAAATAGCACTTATAGGAAAGGGATTAAGCATTTTAAAAATGTCCGCATTTAGCAGATGTTATCCGTTTACATAATTAGCATAATTAGGATCTAAAGTTAATGAATGTAATAGAAATTACGACCTCTTTATATATGCATCTTTTTGATAGGAAGCTTTGATTGAAAATGTTCCTTGAAGATGTATTATTTTTTTTAAATTTCTATTGCAGAATGTTTTTTTTTTTTGGAAATTAGGTAAAATTAAAAAATTTGTGAATATTATGTGGAAACCTTTTAATTTTTCTCTTTTTTTTCTAATACTAAATTTACAAAATTAATAATAGATGTAAAAATATGTTTTTTCTTAATTAATTAATTCGTTATATATATTTTTAAAAGCGATAATTAATTTTTATTCTGTCGATTTAATTTGATAAATTAAAAAAGAGAAAAATGGCTTGAAAATTTCAATTGCATAATGTATTTTTAAAAATCTTTAATAGCCATTAAACATATCAATGATGTAAATTAATATATGTGTTATTTCTTCTTCTCTGCAGTATTGCTTTTATGAACTGATTGAAAATGAGAAGGAAATGAAATAAAAACTTCAATTTCATGATTTATTTACTTGTAATTTTAAAAGCTAATAAATACATTATATAAAAAAGTATGTACATTTCTTTTTCTTCACAATTTTCGACTTCCTATATTGCTCTTTATGCCATTTTCTTTAGTAGAAAAAAGTAGATGTTGCGTAAAATTTATTGATTTCATGAAAATTAAATTGAGCAAGAGAAAGGGAAAGAGAGAGAGAGAGAGAGAGAGAGGAAGGAAAAGAAGAAAATGAATTTTTCGGTGCAATAAATAAATCACGATTTTTATTATTTTCCAAGCTATTTCGTTTCTACATTTTTTTTAATGTTCAAAAAAATTTTTCATTAATTTTTTCTTTTTTTGGATGCGAGAGGTAATGGATGGGTGATGAAATAGGAGAAGGGAATAAAATTTTTTAATTTTAAATCAATTCAAATAATGAATTTCATTTATGCTAACGTTATAATATATGGAAATAATATGACGTTAAATTTGAATATTAGCATAAAAATTTCTAATAAATATTAGAAATCCATAAGAAAAAAAAGACGATAATATAAAATTTTTTTTCTTATTTCACGAAGTCAATTGAGAAAATAATCGATAACGGAATTACTTATAATGTTCAAATAATTCTTTTCCAATAATAAACTGAACATTAGGAATTTTGAAAATTTATAAATTATTATTTACCCTTGAAAATGACCGATTCGTGAAAATTCCAGAATTGATATTTATGATTTAAACGGAATCTTTCATTCATTTGAAGGTGGAGCTAAATAATTACACCGAAAGATGCAAGGACGAAATCTGTTTGTGTGTGTAATATGAAATGGTCAATTGTGGACCATCTAATCATGATTTTCAAATTTCATATAAACAATCATTAACTGTAGTAATCATTATGATGGTAATGATAATGATAATACATTAATATTAATAATTGTTAATGATTTTACCGCTCCGACTAAGTACACTTTTGCCTTAGAAAAATCATGATTAGATGTTAGGTAGATATCTAATCATGATTTTCGAACTTATTCATGTTATTGATAACTGTGATTGCGATATTTAATGATGATAATGACAATGATTGATTAATAGCAATAATTTTATAATTGAGAGTAACTTCCAATTTATGCTTTACAAGAATATTAGTTGTGTAACACTTTCTTGGAGGTAATTCTGCGATATTATGCAAAATTTGATAAACAATAAAATTCTTTTTTTAACTATTAGAATTTTTTTCTTATTGGTAGAAGTAGTACTTTTGCTATTTCCGCTCCCTGTTGTTCTTATTCTAAGTCAGTAGAAATTTTGTGAAAACTTCCAATATTCATGGGGAAAACAGAAAAAAAAATTTATATTGAAAAAATGAGAAAAAAGAAAGACATGAATATTAATATTGAATTTTTTCGATTCTTTAATCGTTCGGCGTACTTATTAATATTCCTATTAACAATTATCCATTTTTTAATTTCTTTTCTTGTTTTTAAGAATACATTATCTTTTTTAGACGCAATTATTTCTGAAAACTATTATCTTTATTTGCGATACTATTACTTTTCTCTTTTTTTCCACTTTTCCCTATTTCTTATCTTGATGAATTTATTTCATATTTTAAAATTAATGCGTATCCAATTATGTTTCATTTCCATCCTAATTTTTAATTTATGATGGTAATAATTTTATATTGGATGAAATCTGCAATTATCATTTATGCAAGTAATGTTTTGCGCTTTTTATTTAATATTTAATTTTTTAAAAAAGTAGATAATTCTGTAGAAATTACTGATAGAATTGCTAAAAGCAAGTAAATTCACATGATTTCATCTATGGTAATTTGTTTATGACAAATTTATCCTAATATTAACTCAGAGATCGCGGGAATAAATATTCCTAAACCAAAAAAAAAAAAAAAAAACGAAATGCATGGAAAAAGAATTTGTTTTCTGCAAAATTATGTCGAAAATAAAAATTTTCAATAATGTACCTAAATTAATATGATTATCGTACTGTGGTGACACACTCATGGCTACGGTATATTAGTATGCCACTCATAGCTACGATATGTCAGTATGGTACTCAACACAAGTACCTCTCTTCTCGTCTATTTATTATCCATTTCTAATTCCCGGACATACCGTAGCACTCTCAATTATATCCCGATAATTCTTTTTAACCTCATTTATTACAATATTGCAGTGCTCAAAAATAAAATTTTTCTACTCTTTTCATTGATTAAATTCATAAAAATTACGCATTGTTCGATTATTAAATTTCATGCAACAAATTTCTTTATTTCCTAAAATATAAAAATTCGAATTTTTTTCTCATTTTATAGAAATTAAAAAATTTAGTTTAAAGAAATAATTCAAAATTCCTTTTTGTCGATCAAGAAAAAAGGCCAATAAGGCCAATAAAAATGATAAGTGTCTTTTCTCATCGTCTTTTCCTCACTTTATGTTTTTTTCAGCATTGCTGAAAATTCAATTTGCATCTTAGGAGTTTAGTGAAAATCTATCATGTAAATTGGATAGTTTTAGTATTAGCATAAATTGACCGGTCATTTATCGGTCATCGGTGCATATTACAAGTGTTAATAGTTGTTAATACTAGAAGAAAATTAATATTTCTGTTTTGCATATTTCTTCGGTTATTTCTTATGCGATAAATTCATTTAAGCTAACATTTAAAAACACCCCATATAGCTTAGCTAAATGATAATTTTATATTTTGATAAAATGTTCCGAATTAAATTCCATTCTAAAGTTAACTATAAAGCTGAAATCTTATTAATTCTTAAGTTTGAGCTATTTTAAGATATTAAAATATTAATATAATATTGCATTTAAATAATATTTTACTATCAGCAGATTTTTTTATTCATTTATTTCTTTTCTTTTTATTTAGTATAATTTTTTTTAATTACTTATTGCATTCGATGATTATTCATTTCATTCATTTATTTATTTCTTATTTGTTCATTTAATCAGCGCCGAAAATAACAAAACAAAATGAAGTTTTTGCTCTTTAAATAAGACATGGATGTAAAATTTTGGAAAGTGTTTGCAAAATTTACTCCAGTTGACAACAAATTCTTGCTGGAAGAAGTTCATAAGTATTTGGATTAACATTATTTTAAACAGAAGGGTTTAAAAATTGGAACAATTTGACCGGCTTAATATTATTGGCCTCCTTTTCAAAAGGCTCGATACTTCATCGATTTATTCTCAAATGTGGACCAAAAGGATGGTCATTTCTGAATGAATAAATTTTTTTTTTTTTTNNNCAAAATTCTGTCAAAGTGATTTTTTCCCAGGAATTTCTTGCATGTTTCTGGAATTTTTTTTTGCACTTCATTTGCTTAAAATTTTCTGGAATTTTCTTGCTCACATCATAACTTATCTTCTTATGTAATTAATTCGGATCCCTTTTGATCCTTTCTTTAAAATTTATTTGAAGCAAAAAATAATTTCATTTTAATAATTGAAGCGAATTTAAAATAATTTCATTTCAAAAAATTTTTCTTATATATGATATTTATATTATCGTCACACTTTTTTTTTTGACATTTACGGTAATATATTTTGAAATCATTTGTTCTCATCAGTTCGCGTATCTTTTTTTTTTTTCTACCAGTTAACATAAATGGAATAAATGAATCAATGAAATGATGAGTAAACAAATTGAAATGACTTTTCCCAGATATTATTCCCAGATATTTCTTCTTAACTTTCCTGAAACTTTTTCCCGATTTATGTTGCAATAGCTAACTTTATCGGTTTTTTTTTTCATTTTAAATTATACACATTACAATAATAAAAATTATTGCACGGATATGTGAGATAGAAACCGGAATGTAAGATGTAGTGGAGTAGATGAAATCCCAGAATAGATATTTTGTAATAAGTTTTTATTATAGTTATTGTTGAGTTCCACTTATCCGGTCAAAGTGTATTAAATATTTGAGAAGCATGTTTTCAATTTTGTTAAAACATTGCTTCAAGTGATTTTTGTTCTTGATTGTTTTCTACTCAATAATTACTTTTTTTTTTTATAGTATACGACGTACGGCAAATCCATTACGTGATCGAATGTATCGAACGGAAAATTCACTGGAAGTATGGATTTTGGAAGCAAAAGGTATCCCGGTGAAACGGAAATACTACTGCGAGATATGTCTTGATAAGACGTTATACGCTCGAACATCAGCAAAACCACGTGGTGATATTTGCTTTTGGGGCGAGCATTTCTATTTCAGGTTTATTTTTTCATCATTTTAATTTTTGCAAACTTTCAACTTTTTTTTTGAACTTTTTTTTTTGTTTTAAAAGCTTAGTGGATTGCAAATTTATTATACTTGTTCTATTGATAATTGAAATATTTAAAAGTAATTTTTAAGAAATGATAAATAATTTAATTTAAGCAAATGGATAACATTTACATATTGTTTCATTCAAATGGTATGTCTAACTTAATCGATTCTTTTGTTAGGCTTTTTTCCTCCAATGAATTTTGAAATTTTCTAAATTTTAGTCCAATTCCAAAATTGGAAAATGTTTGTATCAATTTATATCGTGAAGCGGAAGCGAAGAAAAAGAAGGATCGTTCAACGTTGATTGGTTATGTGCAAATTAAAATTGATCAGCTTTCTACGCGACATCCCGTAGAACGATGGTTTGTTTATTTGTTTATTTACCTCTATCTCTCTCTCTTTCTCTCCCTTTCTTTTTCTCTCTCACCTTCTTTATCTCAGGAAATATGATATGAATGATAGCTTTTGCAAATAAATTTTTTAAGGAAACAAAAGTAAAAAGAAAAGAAAATTTTCTGGATACAATATAAATCCTTAAAAATACTTTTGTGATTTTTTGATCATTTTGCATGATTTTTCATTTTATTTCAATAATACTTTTTAATTTATTTGTCTGGAATCTTTTTCTGTAATTTAATTGTTGAATTTTTTTGCAATTAAAAAAATTAGAAATGCACAAAAACCACCAAGGTACGATAATTTAAAATTATTTTTCCTTCCTTCTTTTTAATTTAAAATTATAAACGCTGGAAGTACTTTTTTAGTCCTTCAAATAAAAATTCAAATAGTTTTTGTTTTTTTTCTTCATACACCACATCAACTGAATTTGTTAAAATATCTCTCTTAATTAATGGAAGTTTGCAAGTTTTTATTATCAATTTTATAAAAATGCTTTTACAATATATCATTTTCTCAAACATAATTAATTACTTAATTATTCGTCGGTATAATTTTTTTATATTGCACACGGTATAATTTTTGTTAATATTATAAAAAAAAAATAATCAATCTAGAATTGAAATTAATTTCCAAAGCTATATGTGATGCGACAAGAAGTACTTTATCACTTCATCACTGATGAGCATAATAATAACAATAATATTGCTGATAAAGTACTAATAATAGTAATAAATAATATTCAAAGTACCAATATAATATTTTGATTTAGCTATTGGAAAGAGTATAATCATCCTTACCATCAATGTTATCACTTAATCATCGTCGTCATTATTCGCTATCGGAATATATTAATAATTTATATACTTTTCCGGAGTAATTTTTGAAATATGCGCTTTATTCAATGAGTAATTTTTTTTTTGCTTCCATCTAATAGTTAGAATTTTACCTCCCTATTTTCCTAAAAAAAAA